GGCTTCGAGCCGAGGGCGCGGACGCCCCCCCGAGGCCGGGCGGCGGCTGCTTCTCGAGAGGCTGTACGGGAGGCTCGGCCTCCCGCGCCGGCGCGGCCACGAGAGGCCGCGCCGAGACCTCCAGCGCGTGGAGCGAAGCGATGCTGGAGCATCTCGCCGCTCTCAGCCTCTCGGGGCCCTCGGAGGGCCCCGTGGAGCGTCCACAAACTGCTCAGGATGAATGAGGGCCCCAGGGACAAGGTCGCGCCCTTCACTCTAGATCGCGCGATCCATACATGTGTATGTATACGTATATATATATATATATATATGTGTGTCTAGATGCATGAGTGTATATATATATATACATATATATATATATATATATATATATGGCTCAGCCCCCCCCCCCCCCCAGCACCCCGTCCTCCAGCATGCGATCACTCCGATGATCCGCCTCCTCCTACACCCACCACACCAACACCAACACCAACACAGCAGCAACAACACCCACCACAACACCAACACCAACACCAACCAACACACACCACAACAGCAACAACAACACCAACACCAACACCAACACGGACAGCGCGCATCAGTCCGCCACAACACAACACGTAACAGACCCCCACCCAGCGCGCAGCCGACGACAACCAGAAGGCCTTGCAGAAGGCCAAGAGCAAGAACGGCAAGCTGGAGCACTTGGTCGAGGAAACGGCGCGCCTGAGGCACGGCGGCGCCCCCGAAGGGAGCGAGCAAGGGCTGGCCTTTTTTTTTTCGAAACTCGGAAACGGGCTTCTGCCACGCAAGCTGCCTGCGAGGGTGGAGTTTTAGGTCTCTTCGAGGTCTCCCGCGGGACCCCTCGGGAGCGGTTTCCTCAGCGTGCCAGTCCTCGCTCCGTTTGCTTCTCGTTCGGCGCCTCGCCGAAAAAAGGCGGCAGGCGCGGAAGGCGAAGGCCCAGGGCAAGGCGGAGGGCGCGAAGGAGGGGGCGCAGGAGCGCGAGCGCCTTCAGCAAGCCTTTTCAGAGAAGAAGGCTTGGCTCTTGAACACCTAAGCCTTTGAAGGCCGACGAACTTCGGTGCCCGCCCAAGCGCGCCCCTGGGAGGGCGTGACAAAGTCCGTCGGCCTTCAAACCGCCCTCCAAGACCAAGTGTTCATCTCCGAAACCGCAGGCCAAGCACGACAAGCTTTTGTCGGAGAGGTGCCGCTTCATCTCCCTGGCCACGGTCGCGCAGAGGGAGAAGTACATCGAGCTCGCGCAGAGAACTCGGAGGAGCATCCGTGACGGGTGCTTCGGCGACCAGTAGGCTGGTTGCCGCCGCTAATGCCAGAATTCGGGCGCGAGGCGACAAAACGAGCAGGCCCCAAGAGACTCGGGCCATGCCTATTGGACCGATAGGGGGCATCCTAGTTTGGATGCCCCCTTCCAGAGGTCTCAGTGACGGCAGACAAGGCCACTGCTCCTTCCAGCGGGACCGCAGCAAGACGACCCGAGGAGCTTCCAAGACCACCGCCACCCCGCTCAAGACGATCCGAGAGGCCTCCAAGACGGCGCCTAGACGCCCCCGAGCAGCAACAGCGCGACGAGGCAGGGCACCGCGCAAAAGCAAACCAAACAAGAACAATACTACACAGCGTTAACGGAACCTTAAGAAGGGACATCCTAGTTTGGATGCCCCCTTCCAGAGTCTCAGAGGCGGCTGACGAGGGCGAAACAGACGGGGAGGAGAGCGACGGCCAGCGAGAGGCAGCGACAAACCTCACGCGGCGAAGAGTCAACGATGAACCCGCGCTTGTCTTTCGCAGCGAAAAGGGCATCCACATTTTAGGATGCCTCCCGCGAGGGCCTACAGCCGTAGACAAAACAAGTACAACACACAGGAAAGCAGTTGACGACAACGCGGGCAACCCGCCAGCAACGACGAACACCTTTTAGAGCGCCCTCGGACAAGCGAAAACAGAAGCATCGCCGAACAGCAACGCGGGGCAACAATAACAAGCGACCAAGAATAACAAACGCGCCTAAGCGACAGACTCGGGTCGACGCAGAGACAGCGATGCACATATGCGCCGTCTGTTGCGGAAAAGGGCATCCGCATTTTAGGATGCCCTCGTGGAGACGAAAAACCAGCAAACCAAAACAGAACGCACGCACGACTTCACAACGATATCAACCTACCAACAGCGAAACATTTGGTCAGTGGCAAACGCACCGTGACTCAAGCGCGCTGAGAACACATTGGCGCTTACGGCGCTGCTGATGCTACGTGGCACGACCCGCAGCTCGCTACCGTCGCCGCAGCCATTTGTGCTCAGACGCAGGTGAGGCGCAATTCCCTGCTTCCAGCATGGCATACGAGTACGCATTTGTTGACGCCCCCGCCTACGGCGGCAGCGTACCGCCAGCCGCTGCCTGGCGCAATGTCGGGCTTAACCAGTCGTTGCGCCTGGCAGCTGGCGAGGATAGCAAGGGGGGTGGTGGTGGTGAAGAAACTGTGTTTTTCTCTTTTGTTCCCAGGACCGCTTCATGGCGTACATCTGGCCCCGCCGCTGGGAGTACAGGAGGACCAGCGCGCTGTTCACCGCAGACGGGCTCGCGTTCGACTTGTGGATGACGCCTGACCCAGCATTGCCCCCGCTCATCGTCCGCCCGTACATGTGCTTGGAAGTTCACGCGGAGCTCATCTCCCGCAACGACCAGGCGCGCGCTGTTTCCCGATTAGTGCGTGTTGGGCGCGCCGCTTCCGATCGCGTCGGTTGCCATCGGCGTTGCGCTTGATCATGTCGACGCCTACGAACCGATCGATCGACCGACGGACCGATCAGATGTCGATTGCGACGTGCCGACCGACCGATCTGATCGCGACGCCCGTTCGCCTTGCCAGAGATCTGTACGATGCGATCTAGATACGCGGTTGCACCCGAGGCCCGTACGTGCTCCGTCCGCTTGACGCCCCCAGACATCGTCGGATGGACGATCGACATGGGTGCGGGTTGGCCGGCCACTTGGAGCTTTATGGAATGGCGCGTCCAGGAAGCGCTGGGCCTGCCACCACACCGCACCCTCGTTTTTGAAGTGGAGAGCGAGCAGCCGTCGCACCGCCAGCGCGTGGGCCCTTCGCTCGGGTGCCGCGCAGTGCGCCACCGCTTCGGCTGAGGCGCGAGCTCGTGGGCCCCGCGTTCGGCTTGCGCGTCTCTGCGTTACGCTTCCTCTGAGGCGGCGGCAAGATGTGAGAGCGCGGCGCGTGCCTCGCGCGCCCCCACATCCTATGCGTTTGCTTCGAAACCACATCGAACATGCTTTCGCTTGGCCTCAGCAAAACATGACGCCCGCAAGGGCGACAGATCGCCCTGAATCCTCTCGCAGACAGGCGGCGCTGACCTCAGCTAGCTTTTCCCGTGCTGGCGCCATTACGCCTCTGGCCCTGCGTCGACAGCCGCGCACATATCGGCTCAAGCTCACCCGCTACTCGCCGCGCGTTCTCGACGAAGGCTTTCATTGCCAGCTGCGCTTTTTCGGCGCTACCAGCTACGCTATCATGCCGAAGGCTTTTCCGATGGAGGCCGCAAACCCCCCCGCCTGCGGCACGAAGTCCTTCGGGGTCTCCATGGAGCACGCGGGCCACACCAACGACGTGATGGTTGCGGCCTGGAACAAGGCGAAGTCATTGCCGACCTTCGAAGTTCTTGCGAAGCCCGAGGTGGTGGGCGACGTAGACAGAGCGGGCACCGCGACCTTCTGGGACCTCCCCATCAAGCAGTGGAGCTTCTCTGCCAGGCGCCCTATCAAGGGTTTCATCGACCTCATCACCAGCCAGGAAGATCTCTCGGGCGTCGACTGGGACGCTGTGAAGGAGGCAATGGCTGAGGGGCGGTACAATGCCATGCCTCCTCCCCTCGGTATCTCCGACGCAGGCCAAAACGACGCCCCCTGCGTGATGAGCATGCACGTGTCGAAGTCCTTGCCAGATGGCCACTACTTGGTCGTGAAGGTCTTCACGTTTCTTGGCGGCGGTGAGCCGATGGCGGCGGTCCGCGACAAGTTAGTCGAGGGCGAGCCATGCGTCCTGGACTACCGCCCCGATACGTTCAACACAGTTCGCACGCTGCAGGTCATATTAGAAGACATGGGTGGTTTGCTCTTTCGCGATTGGGACCCGCCCAAACCCAAGGTAGCTGCAAGTGAAGGCGTCGACTCTGGCGAGGTCGCCGACAAGAAGGCCGCATTGGACCGAGCATGGGACTACGTGCAGGCGGAGGCCCCTCGCGGCAACTTCGACGGCCAGAGGCTCCTGTGGGTGGAGCACCAGTTCGTGGACCCCGATTCCCCCCTCTACAACATGAAGCGGGAGTTCGTAAACAGCTTGCTCAAGTGCATCGCCGACCGCGACCACTTCGCTGTCAAGGAGGAGTACTATCCGTTGCTCAAGCCCGACATTCGCGACGGGTACCAACCCATGACGAACAAGATACTGCAGACCCTCTCGGGCAACACGCTGCTTACCATCGGGGAGGCTGGCTTCGGCAAGACCCCCTACATGTATATCCTGGCGATGGCGATGGTCAGGTATAACGCGGACGCAGCCAACGACCGTCGCCCAGGCCGCGCCCAGGCCGCCGTTCGCGTGTCTGCAGAAATTGATTTCTTTCGCGGAGAGGTCGGGGAGCTTTGGGCCCCCTGCATATTCGACGATGGCGACCTCGCTGACCAGCGCCCTCGCGTTCTCTAAGCGTTTTTCGATCCCACGCAAGCCGAGTCCATGACGTACGTGCGTTGGGGGGCCGCGAAGTTCGTGCGCGGCCAAGCGAGGCGGCAGGCAAAGCCGAAGCATCGGGGACAGCCAGCCCCCTTTTGATTCCTTGGGCGGGTTTGGGCGCTTTGGGACGGGGGCTGTTCGGCGCCGGCTGCCCCGTCGTTTCGTCTTCGCTCAGGTTCGGCGGGGGCAACGAATACAATGCCAGCGCAGAACCGAGCGCAGAGGAATGGGCATTTGCGAGCACCTCCCCCGATGCAGCGAAGAGGACCACGGCATTCTTGCTTGCGATGATCCGCCCTGCGTTCCCGAAGGGCATGTCAGAGAGCAACCTTGGGGCGATGCTCAAGCGATGCATCGTCGGGCTGAACACCCAGGTCTCGTTCTTCTACAGGCCTGCCGGCAAGGACTCGGCCGTCGAGAAGCTGCCCCTCATGGCCAGCTACATCAAGCCCGAGGCAAGCAAAATCTTAATGCAGTACCTCAAGCACAAGAAGTGCCGCGACAAGGAGGAGCATGATAGACTCCTCGCCTTCGAGAAGAGGGAGATGCTCCAGCTCATGGCCGAGTCGCGCGCAGCGGCAGTCGCGGGCGACAGCGGCGGGGGCGCCGCCGCCGCCGTTGCCGCGAGCAGCGGCCCCGCCAGTGCCGCGGCGCCGCGGGCTGCGGACACGGCGAGCGCAGAGGAGGCCGCGCCTGCGGAGCGCCCCTACGAGGACGAGGAGGACGCATTTGGATTCGGCGGCGGCATGAGCCAGCATGAGCCGACGCCCCCCAGGCAGTTGACGGCGGCGCGGGGCGCCCTCGTGAAAGGGGTGATCGCCTCCGAGGTTGGCGGCGGCGCTGCTTCAGCCGCTCAGCCCTCAGCTCTCGGTTGCCATGGTGCGCTCTCGGAGGAGGACAGTCGGGAGCAGGTAGCTATCTTCCACGGCCTCGCCAAGGCCCACCACGGTGCGCACGTGGACCTGCTTACTCCTCCGCGGAAGAGCAGGAAGACGGTCTTGGCGTGCGGCGGGCCACTCTCCCCCGTGGACCTCCAAGAGCAGCAGGCCATCTTCGCTTCCATCGTCGCAGAGGCGGACGGGGAGACATTGACTGTGGACGACGGTGACCTCGACGTGGAGGCCGAGATGGAGGCGATGCTCGACGCCGACGAGACGGCGCGGGCTGACGGCTCCGCAAGGAAACCTGCTGGCCAGACGGAGTGATCCAGTTGGGGCAAGCTGGAGGGCGTGAGTTCACGCGCGCTTCTTAGTTCGGGTAAGCCGAATGTTTAAATCCCACGAGCTTGATTATACTACCACTATTCACGCAGATGCCATCCGTGTAGCGATATGTCGGGCTAGGGACATGGCAATGCCCAGGCGGAATGTGCGCGGCCGTGCATATGGCTTGCAAACACAACGGCGTTGGTTGAACCTCCTCATCTTCATCCTTGTTTGGGCGCTACCAATCGCTTCGCCAGCACGCATCTTTTGCCAACAGCACCCAGCCAGAGCATCCGACTCCTGTTTCAATTGGCTCAAACCAGAGAGACGTACCACGCGTGACCGCCAAGCCCCGTCAAAGGCTTGACTTCCGCCCCTCGCGCGCCTCGCCCATGGGGAAGCCCTGGCCAGTCGCCAAGCGTGGGAAGGCCCGCATGGCCTCGAGGCCTGTGGCGATGAAGAGGGCGAAGCAAAACCCACTGATACGCAAGCCTAAGAACGTCCCATACGCGCGCCACGGGTCTTCTTCATCCAGGCCCCGTCTCGACAGGGCAGTCTGGGCTCGGTGCTTGAAGGACTTCGTGAACGTGACGACTAAGCAGGTGATCGTCAAGCTGAAGAAGGACAAGCTCTTGCCCGAGTGGAAGGGCGCCACGTGCCCTTACTGCGGGGTCGGCACGCTGGCCCCCTTGAAAAACCATGGCAAGAAGAAGGGCGGGTGGTCCCACAAATGCACGAGCGACAGTTGCCGACGCTACCTCTTGCCACACGCTTTCCACCCGATCTTCAAGTGTGGCACGGGATCGTCGGGGGAGCGCTTGGTCGACCAGGCTGCCGTGCTGTTCCGCGCCGTGGCCCAGTGCTCGCAGGCGTCGGCTCGCCTCTTGCTCAAGAACAACCACAAGATGGCAGAGAGCATTTACTCTGCGCTGTACGCGGCCCGCGCCAAGCACGTCAACTGCCATTAGGAGAACATCGTCTTCGGCAAGGACCAGGACGGCAAAGCGCTCGAGTGGGCGGACGTCGAGGCGGACGAGGTCGACGCGGTCAAGGGCGAGGACCCGAACGCTGACCCCCGCGCTCAGAAGCCCATCACTTGGGAACAGCGGGGCGGCATCGTGCAGCGGGGTAACCCCAGGTCGTTGGTCCTCTTCAGGTTGAAGCCTGAGAAGGCCAAGCGCGGGGCGCCTGGCCCAGGCCCAATTCGGAAGAGAGATTGGGCGCCCGTGGCGTCCAAATGGCTGAAAAACCGCCGTGTCATCTTGCACACAGACGGTGCGAGGTCGTACAAGATGAAGGTCGGCGACGTCTTGCACGACTGGGTTGTCCACAAAAAAAGGGGTGCGGGTTGGCGGGAAGTGGGTGTGGCTGAAGCCTGCTTTCACGAAGGTCCGCTACCACGATGTGCCTGACGAGAACAAGCCCAGTGGGACGAAACGCTTGTGGGTGAAGTGCGGCACGCAGTTGATCGACCGTGCCTGGGGCGACTTGCGCAAGGCAGTCGGAAAGCGCAACGCGAAGACGGTGGGCTCTGTCCTCCTCCGCAACAAGGCAGGCAACTTGAACGGCGCGTGCTGCGTCTGCTCGCGCTGGCGCCGCCTCTTCAAATTTCAGTGCAGCTGAACGCCGCCCTTGAGGGGTTGGGACGTGTCATTCGCCCCGCGCGAAAAGGTTGGCGGGGGGCACGCGCTGGGATTTGGAGAGGCGGTCCAGCGCGACATGCGCAGTTCCTGTCCGCTCTCTGGCCCATGCAAGGTGCGTTCTTTCCAATAGGCGTACTGGAACCGCGGCAGCGACCTCTGGCTCGCCACTGGCCAGATGCTCCGCGACGCGTGGGCCAAGGACTACGGCCAGTGAGCTCTCTCGCTGGCTTGACCGAGCCCGCTGAGTGACTCGGCATCAGGCGCGCGTGCGCACGCGTTGTTTAAATCGGCTCTGCCGAAGTGTTCTTATGAGACCAGGTGTATGGTCAGACTCGCACTCACCATGCAGATGCAATCCGCGAAGCGAAATGTGGGTTTAGCGTCATCATAACAATTGCGCCTTCGGCGGCCGAAAATGCAACCGTCTCCGAGTGGTTGCGCCAGAGGTTGCGCCCTCGGCGGCTGAGAATGCAATATTCTTCTTTCGGCTGCAGTAAATAAGTTGCGCCATCAGCGGCCGAGCGTACAGCCATGTCCCAGGAGCCATTTGTTGGGTTGTGCCATTTGTTGCGCCATCAGCGGCCGAGCGTACAGCCGAGTTGGGTTGTGCCATTTGTTGCGCCTGCGGCCGACAGGAGCAACACCACCTTCTGACGGATGTTTTACATGATGATGAGGAGAAGAATAATAAGGGAGAGATGGCAGACGGCGGGGGAGGAAAATGATGAGCACGGGAGGAGTAAGAATAAAAGGGGTCGGGCTAGCAGGGGGAGGACAAGGAGGGGCAGGAGGACGAAGAGGACGAGGGGGCTGAAGAGGGGGAGGAGGAGGAGGAGGAGGAGGAGGAGGAGGAGGAGGAACAGCAGGGCAACAAAACACTGCTATTCACATGTTGTTTTTTGTTTTTGGGTCAGTGATACCACGAAACACTGCTATTCACAGGTTTGTTTGGTTTTTTTGGTTGTCAGAGGTCTGCAAACTTCGCCGGCGATGGTCGGCGCCGATGAGCGCCAGAAAAACTTGTGAATAGCAGTGTTTGGTGGTTTGGCGGCGAGAAAACCATGCTATTCATAGTTTTTTGGGTTTTTTTGGTTTTCCAGCTGAAACCAAAAAAAACAAAAAAACCTGTGAGTAGCAAGGTTTTCTCGCCACGATGCTACGAAACCCTGTTATTCACAGGTTTTTTCAGGTTGTCACCGTCCACCAGCCTCCTGGCGAAGTTCGCAGACCTCTGAAAACCAAAAAAACAAAAAAACCTGTGAATAGCAATGTTTCGTGGCATCACTGACCAAAAAAAACAAGAAAAACCTGTGAATAGCAGGGTTTCGTGGTAGATCTTCTCCCATAAGCCTCTTTGGAGGAGAAGCTAGAGGAAGAGGAGAAGGGGGAGGACGAAGAGGACGATGAGGAGAAGGAGGAGGAAGAGGAGGAGGAGGAGGAGGAGGAGGAGGAGGAGGGGGGGGGAAATATGAACGGAGAAGGGAGATGAACAGGAGGAGGAAGAGGAGGAGGAATGGAAAGAAAGCGAGATAGGGCTTCACGGGGTGCTTGGGGGGGGCTGACCATATATATATATATATATATATATGTGTGTGTGTGCATGCATGCATGCATGCATGCATGTATGTATGTATGTGTGTATGTATGTGCATGTATGTATGTGTGCATGTGTGTATATGTATGTATGTATGTATGCCTGCATGCATGCATATATGCACGCATGTATGCATGTATGCATGTATGCATGTATGCATGGACGCATGGACGCATGAATGCATGAATGCATGTTTGCGTGTGCATGTGTATGTAGGTGCGTATGTACGTAGGTGTGTAGGTATGTACGTACGTACGTATGTATGTGTGTAGGTTTGTATGAATGTCTGTATATATGTATGTATGTTTGTATGAGTTATGTACGAGCGTATGTATGTGTCTATGTGTGTATGTGTACATGTATGTGGATCTAAGTATACATGTATGTGTATGTGTGTTCGTGGGTACGCAGACATGAATGCATGTATGCATGCATACATAGATGTATGTATGCATGTGTGTATGTGTGCATCTGTGTATGTACGCATGCATGCATGTATGTAAGTATGTATGTCTGTGTGTATGGGTGTTTGTGTGTATGTGTGCATGGTTGTACATGTGAATAGGTGAATGTATGCATGTATGTATATATGTATGTATGTATGTATGTATGTGTGTATGTGTATGTGTATGTGTATGTGTATGTGTATGTGTATGTGTATGTGTATGTGTATGTGCATGTGTATGTGTATGTGTATGTGTACGTGTACGTGTACGTGTACGTGTATGTGTATGTGTATGTGTATGTTTATGTGTATGTGTATGTGTATGTGTATGTGTGTATGTATGTGTGTATGTATGTATGTATGTAATGTTGTATGTTTGTATGTGTGTATGTATGTATGTATGGATGGATGGATGTATGTATGTACGTACGTATGTTTGTATGTATGTGTATGCATATACACATACATCCCAGTACGACTGCTGCGCGACAGCAGCGAGCTCTGGGGAGAGCACCAGAGACACCGAGGGCCCAGCAGCTGGAAGGAGGCTCCGGCATCCCAGGGCTGCCACGTCTCGCCAGGTCGCAGGCCCAATCCAGCCCCCTGCGCCGTTCCCCGATCTCTGCGGGTTGCCCCGCGCTCGAGGGCCGCAACGGGTTGCGAAAGTATTGGAGAGAATATTGGAGTGAAAGAAGAAAACGGAGTGCACTCCGTTTTCCTCCTTCACTTTTTTGGTCTGCGGGTCGAGAGCGAGCCTCTTCCGGTTAAGAGCTAGGCGGGCCGCGCAAAGCACTAATTCAGTTCTCCCCCTTCACACCTAGGGGAGGCGAAAGAAGCAGCGCCCGCGGCGCCTTGGGGGGGGGGGCGCGCGAGGACTGACGCTCCACGCGCCCTTTCGCTGGGAGGTGGGCTTCTTCGGGGCCCGATCAGCGCTGGGAAAACCACGTAGGTGCATGGACTCTCCCGCCCGAGACTGGAGGCGGGGATAAAGAGAGAGGCGTCGGCGATGGGGGCAGCGAGCAGCGAGCAGCGAGGAGGGAGGAGTGCGGCATGGAAGGGTGTGAACAGAGCCCTGGAGGCAGTGGCCCCCCCTCCTCCTCCCACTCCTCCTCGTCTTCCTCCTCCTCCTCCTCCTCCTCCTCCTCCTCCTCCTCCACTCCCTCCTCCTCTCCCTCCTCCTCCTCCTCCTCCTCCTCCTCCTCCTCCTCCTCCTCCTCCTCCTCCTGCCACTAACCTACGTCGCGGGCAGCACCTGGAGCTCGGATCCAGATCCGACGAGAGCAACCACTGCCCAGGCCGACAGCTCCTGCTGCACCGCCCCCGGCAGGGGTGCTCGCCTCACGGAACGGCATCGCGCGCGGTGTGGAAAAAGCTCTGGCAGCTGAGACTGCCGTGACGCGACGGTCAGACACCGAGATGATGTTCCTCCTCCTCCTCCTCCTCCTCCTCCTCTTCCTCCTCCTCCTCCTCCTCCTCCTCCTCCTCCTCCTCTTCCTCCTCCTCCGCCTCCGCCTCCTCTTCCCCCCCAGCGCTGATACGCTCTTGGGAGTCGTGCGTATCGCTCTGTGCTCCGTTCCTGAAGCCCGCGGTGGACAGAGTGGCGAGTGGAGGAGGAGGAGGAGGAGGAGGAGGAGGAGGAGACGCCTCACGCCACGTCCCTCCGTCCGCTCTCAACGTGCCCGGCCCGGTGAATGATAGCATCGGGCTGCACAGCAGGCGTGGGCTCGGCGCATCTAACGGGAAGACGCCTCTAGCTGATCAGGCGATCGAGCACCGGCAGAATGACCCGAGATCGCCACGGCGCCCATCTGGACGCCGACACTCCCTTGCAGTCGGCACCCAGGAGCACCCTCAGCGCGATGCCCCCTGGCGGGACATCCAAGTTCTGTCTGAAAGCCGGGCCTAGCCACCGTGATGGCCACCAGTGGCCGACAGGCCAAGCAGGACGTGTGTGAGACTACCGCCAGCCCAGCTTCTCCTTGGCCACCCCGCGAAGGGTCACCCATTCGCCCGCGCTCGCTTGCGCGCCGCCTGGGCTCAGCCGACCTGGCCACTCGCGCGCGTAGGTTAACGGCATCGAGAGTCTCCTGCCCGCTGACGACCGGTGTTTGTAAGGCCCTGCCGCCGCCCCCTCCTAGAGGAGGAGGAGGAGGAGGAGGAGGAGGAGGAGGCGGAGACGGAGGAGGAGGAGGACGATGGAAACGAAAAGGAAAAGGAAAAAGAAAAGAAGGACGAGGAGGAGGAGGAAAAAAAGAGGACGAGAAGGAGGAAACGTTGCAGGAGGAGTGGGAGAACGACGAGAAGGACGACGAAGAGGACGAGAGGGAGGGAAAGGGAAGGGGACGACGCGGAGCAGGGAGAGGCGGAGCATCCGCTTCGTTCCTCTCCCCCCGGTGGCCTGCCGGCACTGCGGGCTTCTCTGCGCCCGCGGCGTGCGCCTGCCAGGGCGCCGCGCAGCGCTGGGTGGAGAGAGGCCGGGGGCTGCCGGCGACAGCGAAGCGGAAGGAGAGAGCTCTGAGCACAGAGGGGCACAAACTCTTGACGCCTCTTGAGTCTGGCGGGCGGTGTGCTGCCTGCATCCTCCACCCCCACCACCCCCACCACCACCACCACCACCTCCTCCTACTCCTCCTGCTCCTCATAATCATCATCATAATCCTCATCCTCATCCTCATCCTCATCCTCATCATCATCATCATCATCATCAGCAGCAGCATCATCATCATCATC